TGAATTGCCCTTTTATTTGTACAGTACAAGCACTTAGTAGCTTTCTTGGTGACCAGATCCACTGTCACGGTATCCAGTGCTTGTGTTAAAGTCACCCTTAGTTTGCTTGCTAATGACTCCAAAGAGCAAGGGTAGTGATGCTGGCAGGTGCCCGTGCCAAAGACAAGCCCTCAAAGTGCTTCCTTTAACTGCAAAGGTCAGACTTCTCGACTTTATAAGGGACAAGAATCATATGCTGAGGTTGCTAAGATCTATGGTAAGAAAGAATCTTCTATCCATGAAATGGTGAGAAGGGAGAAAGAAAATCGTGCTAGTTTTGCTGTCTTACCTCAAACTGCAACAGTCAGAGCCACTGTGCACGGTAAGCGCCTCGTTAGGATGCGGGAGGCATTACGGTTGTGGGGACGTCAACAGGAAACATGGTTTGACTGATGCTAACGTGTTGTACCAGAAAGCACGGAGGACTTTATGAGGACTTCGGCGCGGGATCCCCTGAAACAAGTGACACCAAGCTATTCACTGCAAGTAAGGGCTGGCCACACAGATTCAGGAATAGGTTTGGATTGAAAAATGAAAAAATTCCTGGAGAGCCTGCGTCTGCTGAGGAAGGCTCTGCTGCCACAGTCCCGGCAGAGCTGCAGTTGATCAGGGTTGGGCACTGCCCGAGGTGTCAGGCGTTCCCTGGGGGTCTCCAAACACGTGCCCCGTGGATAAGGCAGGACTACTCTATCGCCTTTACCTCTTCCATAATATTTCTCATGAAATCTGCTTATTTCTTTAAGACCTAAATGAATTTCCTTTTAAAATAAATGACATCATCACCTCAAATAAAACACTAGTCTTCTTAGCCATAAATAGAAAGTCACCACAAAATAAATACAATAAAAATAAAGTGTTATTGTATTCTGGGTGTGTATCTTTGATTACCAAAGGCTCTGTGCCTGAGGCCTGCTCTCTCTTCCTTGTGAAGGGAAATATGCACGTAAGGGAAAGACAGGTAAGATATACTAGCAGTAAATGAGATTTTCTCCTGGTATAATCATAATGTCTAAAATAAATTGGAAAGGCAATTACTTTCCCCCTCTATGTGAACTGGTGTTCTCTAATGCTGTGTCCATGGACCACTTGAAATCTTTTGTGCCGCGAGTGTGTATCAGAGATACTGGGAGTCTTGTTAAAACACAGACGGCTGATTCAGTAGGTCTGGGCTGGGGCTTAAGATGTGTATTTGCAAAAGGTTTCCAAGTCACGCTGGTGTTGTTGGTCTGGGGAACATGGTTCGAGAGCCACTGCCCTCGTTGCATCATCTCTCACTTTAGGAATAACTGTTGGGGAAGGCTGACGGGTGCAAACCAGAAACAATTGCGAGCTGCAAACAGGGGCAGACTTGCTCCCAACTGTTGTTGGCAATTTTCTGCTTAATGGGCAACAAACCCAGGCCCAGCATGAGCATCCCCAAGAGCAGTTTTACTTTCTAGAACCATGCACTTCCTCTATGAGGAAACCTAAATTACAATCTGAGCTGCCAAAAGAGAGCTTTCTGACCTTAGCCAAACCTCCCCATAATCCCACTTAGTGAGGGGAGGAGGAAGTAGCTGAGAAGTGAAGCTACATCCTGGGGAAAGCCCCATCCGTGTAACTTCCCCAAGAGCTTATTAATTCCAGAAGATAGATGATGATGAAAAGTATTTATTTTTAGAGCTGACTAATCTCAGCAGGACCCGTAGATAAGTGATTGTGGAGTTTTATAAGCCAAGACTCCAAAAGCCTATTCCTGCGCTTTTTAAATGGAACACATCTCCAGTAATTAAAAGTCCACACGGTGGCATTTAAACCTCTCCTGAGCCTCTGACATCCTTCGTGTTTGAGAAGAGAAAAGCCCAGGGAGAGAGCTTCAACCACTATACTGCCTTCCAACAAATCAAAACACATTCATCTGTCCATGTTTCCTTCTAGTGCACAACATTATGTGGAAAAATGGAGTCTGTGTTCATGACTTACAGATACAGCCCTAGAATATAGCTGGGGTGGCCCTGGCTGGGTAACTCAGTTGGTTAGAGCGTTGTCCCAAAACGCCATGGTTGCAGGTTCAATCCCTGGTCAGGGCACATACAAGAATCAACTAACAAATGCATAAATAAGTGGAACAACAATGTCTCTCTGTCTCTCTTCCCAACCCCTTCCTCTCTCTAAAATCAACCAATACATTTAAAAAATATATATATATAGCTGGGGTTGTGCTAATGAATATCACCCCCTTTCCTCACCCAGGTTTTGAATCATGTAAGAAATAAAACCAAGAATATGACAGGTGGAGACAAAATATCACTTCTTATGGAGAAAGTGGCTTAGGGCTTCCTAATGCTGACTCCTTTCCCCTGCCCAGGTACAGCAGTTGTGAATATCCAGGACCTCTCCCAGAAGGGAAAAGGCAGGGTCAGAGGCAAGCAGTCCCAATTTATTCCTCTGAAATAACTCATTACTCCTCGCTCAGGGCAGAGTGAATAAAGCAGTGCCCGGGGACCAGGAGTGTGGCTCTCGCCGAGTCCCCTCCATGGGGCGGGCAAACACAGACAATAGGGAAGAAGCATTTCCCATAATGAGAAGCTCTGTGTACCTTGTGTCTATAATTCTGGGGTGTTGCAATAGGGTGTGGTCTGGGTTAGGAGGGGGCATAAAAAAGAATGATTGCTGGTTGGTACTGTCAGGGCTGCCAGACTTTCTTATTGACTAAGTGTCCCCAGGTAAGGCCAGGGATGAGCCAGGAGGCAGGTGTTTAGCAGCCTCCATGCCTTCCTGGCCACTGTTCATTGTATGCTCAGCAGAAGTGATACAGAAAACCAGGGTAGATATTGACACAGTTGTAAGAAATATAATGACATTAGCAGACGTTGGCTGTAGAGCTCTGCGGGTACTACTCCCTCGATATCTTGAACCCAAGACAAGACAGAGCAGTGGGCTGTTCCTGCTTTAGGAGACAGGATTAGAGGCCCTGCATTTTGTCACCTCAGGCCACTTTTTAATTTTTCCTAGATTCCTGGTTAGCCTTTTATAAAGTAAATGTAGTAGGTTGAAATGCCATGTAAAAAGGGAGACCGTCTTTGCAATACATATAGAAAGAACTCTTACAACTCAAAAATAAGATGACAGGCAACTCAACTTTAAAAAACGGGCAAATGATTTGAACAAATATTTTACCAAAGAAGAGATATGAGTGGCTAATAAGCACAGGAAAGGTTGCTCAATATCATTTGTCATCAGGAGATGCAAATTAAAACCAGAGTGAGATACCACTACATACCCTTTGGAATGGTTAATACTAAAAGACCGGTAACAATCAGCTGTTGGTAAGGATGGGCAGCAACGGAAACTCGTGGAAATGTAAAATATACAACTGTGGAAAACAGTTTGATGATTTATTAAAAGGTAAACATATTCCTACCATCTGATGAGGTCATTTTGCTCGCCAGTATTTACCCAAGAGAAATGAAAGTACATATCCACACAAAGATGTGTACACGAATATTCATAACACCTTTATTTGTAATGGGCAAAAAGTACCCAATTTAAATATCCCTCAACAGATGAATAAACCATGGTATATCCAGCATATCTATTTTTACTATTCAGAAATACAAAACCTACTGATATATACAGCAACATGAATGAATCTTAAAATAATTATGCTGAGTGAAAGAAGCCAGATCAACCGTAAAAACCCCCAAGCCCAGTATACATCCATATGGTTCCATTTATATAAAATTCTAGAAAATGCAAACTCACCCATAGTGACAGAAACCAGAAGAGTAGTTCCCTCAGACTGGGGGTGTGGGGAAGGATGGACACAGGAATGCTTTGGGGTCTATGAGAATGTTTGATAGCTTGATTGCAGTGATAATTTCATGGATGTATGCACAGGTCAAGACTTTAAATATACGCAGTTTGCTATGTATAAAGTTTATGTCAATAAAGTGGTAAAAGAAAGGAAGGAAGGCAAGAAGGAAGGAAGGAAGGTCTCACTCAGTAATGTGGAAGAATTTCAAAATCATTGTGCTGAGGGGGAGACGCCAGACATATAGAACATACCATATGACACCATTTTTATACAGTCTAGAAAAAGCCAACTACTCTCTAGTGACAAAAAGCAGATCAGTGGTTGCCTGGAGTTGGGGGTGGAAGGAGGAATGGACTGTGAGGGGTAAGAGAAAATATTGGGGTGCGATAGTAATGGCCTGCTTCTTGATTGTGATGGTGACTACACATGTATATACATCTATCAAAAGTCATGGAATTTTACAATTTAAATGGGTTTGTTTATTGAGGCAAATTATACCCCCCTAAATAAAATGAGTTTGAAAGGAAAAGAGAAAAGAAATTTTTGTAAAGGCTTTTGTTTAACTCCTGGTATCAGGGATCACTCAAGCTGAGAAAAACAGCACGAAACATGGGCGTGAGAGGTGCCTTGCGTGGGAAAAGTAAGAAAATGGGCCTCTTAGCGCTTTTTTGTTTTTTTGTTAACCCTCACCCCAGGATATTTTTTCCATGATTTTTCTGAGAGAGTGGGAGAGAGGGAAGGGAGAGAGAGACACACACATCGATTGGTTGCCTCCTGCACGAGCCCTGGCCTTGACCAGGGACCAAACCTGTAACCCAGGGATGTGCCCTCGACCGGATATCAAACCGGCAACCCTTCGGCGTGCGGGCCGGCACTCTAACCACTGAACCACACTGGCCAGGGCTGGGCCTCTTAGATTTATAAGAGCCAACCCCAAATCCCATTGCCGAATGGAGACTTTTGGGAGAAGAAAGTAACCTGCTATGTAATCATATAAAAATGTTGTTTTTACAGGGTCAGGGTGAAAACTGTGGCTGATATTCACCAGGTGTTATTGGTTTCATTCCTCAGGCTGGGGCTGCACTCAGGGCTGGAGTCCTGGATTTGAAGGAGGGAGGACTGGATTGAGAAGCCCCTCATCCAGCTGATGAGGCTGGCTCCTGAAATGCGTGAGAGTCCGGTGGCCGAGGTGCAGCTCCTGAGTGGAGGCACCAAGGGGCGGGGGGGCCAGCATGAGCAGTGAGCAGGCGGGAGCGGAGGGAGAAAGTCATCTGTTTTAAGTTTTTTCCCTTTTCTACACTGTATTTCCCCTTCCTTGACCTGTCACCCACAAGCCTTCAGTAAACTTAGGTTAAATGCTACAATTTGATTGATATTAACTGTGTTTGAGGACGTTAAGGTGGGGGGGAGGGGCAGGGCTGTGTCCACGCAGAGTGATCTGTGGGGAAGCACGGAAGCTTGGAGACATGCTTACCAAGTTGCTAGGTGTGACCATCAGGGAGGCCCAGCGTGGCGAGTGGCAATCCACAGCAAAAGGTGACAAATGCTAAGCCACAAACAGCCTGGGGAAACATGTAAGTACTTCTCAGGGATTCTTGAAACTACTGATGGGCCTGGCCGGGTGTGGCTCAGCGGTTGAGCGTTGACCTGGGATCCAGGTGATAAGGGTTCGATTCCCGGTCAGGGCACATGCCCGGGTTGCGGGCTCCATCCCCAGTTGGGGGCATGCAAAGGGCAGCCCATTGATGACTCTCTCATCACTGATGTTTCTGTCTCTCTCTCTCCTCTCCTTTCCTCTCTCTGAAATCAATAAAGATTAAAAAAAAAAAAAAAGATGAAAAAAAGAAACTACTGGTGGAAGCAAATAGATTTCCTGCACTTGAATGAGGGTGAGTAAAGCACAGACTATATACCATTAGGTGTTTAAAGAAACAGTGATCTCCTAAAAGGAGACGTTTGGGATATAAAGAGATCAACTGCCACCACCACCCACCACCACCCCAACTCTCAAGGATATTTGTGCTGTCCTGAATTATTTTAGACCATGAGACAGAAAAATAGTTCATAAGGCCAGGTCCTTCTCTTCTATCTCAACAGCTCACCTGAGACCTATGGTATATGACCAAACCCTCATGAGTAATTGCCTTTGGCTGATTTGACGTCAGTTCCTGACTGGACTTTGAACCTGAAAGAGAGTTAAAGCTAAAGATAGCTGGAGGGAAATCACTTCTTCCTTGGATTGCCTAGCGAGACAATCCAAAATGCAAGCCCTCACTCACCTAGCTCTTCTCACCCTCCTTGCTGTAACTTCAGGTAAGGAACAATTCAATCTTTAAAATTCTTTTAATCAGTGTTTGTTGTCTTTGAGATAGAACCAACAGGCTTTAGCTACTAATTTCCACAGCCCAACAGTCAGACTATTTTGTGGATAAAATTTCCTCTCCAACTCTGCTCAAGACACGAGGCATTTCAGTCTGTGACGAAGGAAGATAGAGCAGTAGTTAGGTGGCCTCTGGACTAGATTTGGGGTTCAGCACACCAGAGATGTGTCCTTAAGAGTTTCTGAGGGCAGAGAAGAGAGACTTAGGAGGTTCCAAGGGCCCAGTGCTCTTCTCTTTGGCCCCCAAAAGTCATTTGGGCCCCAATGCAGTACAGGGACCTAATTTAATCCCTGCTTCTAGCATCAAGAGTTTTTGGCCCCTTTACTTGTGGGAATTAAAGGGTTACCCCCAAGTAAATCTCTTAATCCCTCGGAGTATTGGTGCACTCTTCTGTTAAATGTGTCTCTCGTATCTACCTCCCAGGTCCTGTCAGGCACAGGGTAAGCCCTTGATAAATGAGAACAGTAGGAACAGGAGTGGCAGCAGTCAAAATGACTCAATGGTGGACTAGTTTCTTGCCCCTGGAAGAACAATTGCTTATCTCTTCAACACTTAGGAATGACTATTTAAGCTAGGCTCCATTCAAGGTGAAGAACCCCCATCCAGGGGCTCACAGACCCATGGGGGAATCAGGGAGCCTCTTCGGCAGTTTTCTGTATTCGAGGGTTTAGAAACTACTTTCTCACTAAAACTTTTAATAATCTTTTTTAACTGACTGTCAATATCAGAGTTCTAAAGACAATTAAGGGTTCTAGAAAACTGATTACTGGATCACTAAGTGTTTACTACCCCTATGTCCAGAGGCTCCTACGAGTTAAAAAAAAAAAGGCAACATTGATGATCACCATAGCCCTTAGGGCAAAGATCATCTCTATTCATCTTACTCTTTAAAAAGTTCATGTGTCTAGAATTACAAATGGGTGAACATTACTAGAAAAATGTTTTTGGAATAAGTTTAATACACACTTAATGAGGTTTTTTATTTCATCACTCTTTAAACATACCCTTTGCCTTCCTCCATACCTGTCAACAGCTAAAATGCCATGTAATGAAAAATTGGGACAATTGCCTTAAACTAAACAAACAAAGGAGTTTGTAACAGCGCCACCTGGTGACATTTTTAGTTGTCCTCAGTGAGGACTACTCTGAGGACTAAACCCAGATTGACAGTTCTGCAACTACAGGCATAAATGATATATTTTCCCAGTTTCATCTGTTTAATTTTTTAACTTTATTTAATGTGAGTTTTGTGTTTGTGTGTGTGTGAGTGTGTGTGTTTGGAAGTAGTCATGTATTTTCGTTTTTAACGTAGTCAATTAAACAGTAATTCCTTACCTCACATTGTCAATAGGTTCTGCAACTTAAAGCAAAATACTGTATAATGAAACCAGCTTTGCCATGGGCTAATTGATACAAACAAGAGTTAAGTTCCTACATCATCTTATCAACGTTCTAGCAAAAAAAAAATGTTGAATGAAACATTATTCAAGGGCCTGTTGCATTTATTTTTCAGAAAAGAATTAGTTGAGTACTAATTACAGCTGACCCTTGAACAACACAGGTTTGAACTGTATGAGTCCACTTATACTTGGATTTTAAAAATCAAACCTGTGTTGTTCAAGAGTCAACTGTAGTATTAGATGATAGCAACTGTCATTATATAGTCAATGTTCTGTCTTCTGAAACTTGGTATCTTTGTTCCATCAACCAAATTTACCTACTAACTTTCCAACCACCACTCCCACAGCTAATCTCACCTCATCGGCAGGTCCCGCAAAAAACGCCACCACGCCTCCAGGTCCCGCAAGTAACACCACCGTGCCCCCGGTCCCCCCCAGCAACACCACCG